GGCGGCCCGGGCGGAGCGGCGGACACAGGTGAGCGACCCGGCCCGCCGCTCCCGCGCTCCTCCTGCGCCCGCGCCGCTGCGGAGTTAGTTGAGCAGGTCCGGTCGTCGCTGCGCGGAGCCCCCGCCAGAGCTCCGTCATCTCGGGTCCCCCGGGTCCCGCAGGGCTCCCGCGAGCCACCCGCACCGGATCCGCAGCCCCCACGCCGGCCCCGGGACGTCCGGAGTCGCTCCCCGGGGGCGGCCCCGGGACTGTCCTGTGCCCGTTCGCCCTCGCCCGGGGAGGGGGACCCCGGCACCTCTAGCTGTCTCTCCACCAGTCCAGGACCCCGAAGCCCCACCCGCGCCCCCAGCGCACTGACTCCGGTCCCCAAACCGGTCTTGCAGGTCCCAGGAAGGTGGCGTCAGCATCTGCAGCCGCGTCGACGTAGTCGGAACCTCCGCGGGGGACCCAGGAGAGCCGGACCAGGACCAGGGCCCCGGGCCTGCCCACACTTCCCATGGAGAAGCCAACAGCCTCAACAGAGCCCCAAGGGCCTCGGCCGGTCCTGGGCCGCGAAAGTGTCCAGGTGCCTGACGACCAGGACTTCCGTAGCTTCCGGTCAGAGTGCGAGGCCGAGGTGGGCTGGAACCTGACCTACAGCAAGGCCGGTGTGTCTGTGTGGGTGCAGGCGGTGGAAATGGATCGGACTCTGCACAAGATCAAGGTAGGGTTGCTCTGCTGTAAGTGAAGCCTCCACTGCACCCATCCTGCTTCGCAGGCAGTCTTCTGGTCCTGTTTCCCAGCCACAGACATCTGGGGGTGCATTCGGCTGCTGAAGTCTCCTGCTGGGAACCAGGAGGGAGGACAGTCTGCTGGGCCAAGCCCCATCGCACAGATGGGCCAATTGAGTCCTGGAGAAGGGATATGACTCACTGTGCCTCACTCAGCTGGGACCTGGACATGGGGCACTGTCCACTGTAGAAGAGGGGGTGCTGCCTAGCCTCTGTAGGAGAGTGGTTTCCCTCAGGGAGCCCCCAACCTGGGACACCTCCACCTGGTCCCTGACCTGAGTCACCCCAGGCAGATTGGCTCACTTTCTCCGAAATTGCTGGTTCTGTCACCCTGAGTTGAATCTCTTGCTTTATTCACTGCACTCTCGGGTGCCGGGGATCTGATTCCTTCCTGCCAGAACCCCGCTCTCCTCTTTCCCTCCCTGACTGCTCCTTGAATCTCAGGCAGGTGCTCAGGATGTGGCTGGCAGGTCCTGAAGGCAAGGTCTGCAAGGGGCTGCTAGGGGTGGGGTGGGCATAGGGGCAGGACACAAGGGAAGAAGGGGTCGAGGAAGCCAGCTGAGAGAGCAGTGCAGTCCTGTCAGCCACTCAGCCATCATCCCCACTCCTCACAACCCCACGATTTTCCTCTTTCTGCCGGAACAGGCAGATTTGGGGTTTGATGGTACAGATGGGCCAGAGGCTGGTGAAGACTCTGGTCTAGGGGCTACTTCAGTAGCTGACCTAGGCATATTTGCATTGCTGTGAGTGCCACGTTTCAAGAATGACACTCCTGGCAGTATGCTATGCCCTTCTGCCCTTCCCTTGCCTCAGTCTCCCTTCTGCTGTCCTCCTGGAGGAGGTGGCGATTGCATTCCTGTTGCCAGCACCAGGACCCTTGGCTCTTTTTAGGAAGGCTGCTCTCCTGCTTGAGACATCCTGACCTCGTACTAGGACCTGTGCTGTTTGACCTTTTCCTATGACTCTTTCTGCCTCATTTTGCCTTAATCGTTCGCAGCCCATGACTGGCTTGCTCTTCCTGCCTTACCTTTCTCCCTCTCGGACTCTGTATCCACCATGTCCATCTGACCCTTTCCATGTTTCTATGTGTGCCTGTGCCTCTGGGTCTTTGTGCAGTCCTGAGGACCCTGGGCTGGGGTTTTTCAAGGGCTTGACCTGAGTATAAGCCTGAGGAGCAGGAGTGCACCTGGTAGGTTCCAGCATGGTGCTGCCTGAGTGCAGAGACAGGCCCTATCCTCCCCAGAGCACCAGTGCACAGAGGGCTGGGATGGTGGTTAGGGGAAAGAGGAAGGGACTAAGGAACAAAGTGACTCAAAGGTGAACAAGGTGGCTGCAAGGGGATCAGACTATGACCTGACAAAGTCTTAAGGCTGGCAGTGTGCAGGTGTGTGTGTGCGTAAGTGTGTAAGTGTAGTCTTCCCATTGGGCTGGCTCTGAGGGGGGTGGTACTCCCACCCTCTGTCAACAGGGCTGGCCAGGCCTCTTCCATCTGGTTTGGTTAATGAATAAACCTAACTCAACCCAGGACTAGAGGTAACAGGTCTGGGGTCCAGGCTGTCACAATAGACCCCTGGTGGCCAGGTCAGACTTGTCAGATAGACTTCCTTGGAGGTGAAAGGGACTTGGAAAAACTGGGGTTTGTGGGCCAACACCCAGGACTCTGGTACTATTTCCTTCTGAGACTGAGCAGAGGCTGGAGGTGCCAGAGGACTCTCTGCAAACCCTGTTTCATATTCTTTCCTGTCAACACCAGGCTGCAGGTGAGGAGGATACTGAAGCCCAGAGAGGGCCAGGAGCCAGCCCAGGGTCACACAACCAAGTCCCAGCAGAGCGGGCCTAGAGCCATATATGTTTAGCTTCCCAGTTTAACCCCCTTGCTTTGTTCCCCTTGATCCCCCTCCAGCTCTGCTCCCCACAGTGGAGGAGGTAAGCAGAGCCTGGGCCAAGGCAGGAGACTGTCACCTTGGATATGGGCATCTTCAGGAATCAGTCCCATTCCTGGTCCTGTTGGCACAGCAGTTGGAACTCTGAGCTTCCTGTTCCCAAGATTCCAGGACTCTTGGGCACCATGCAGCTAATCCTATTTCTGATAAGAGCCCCTGCTTTGACCAAGCATTTCTTTCATCATCCAGTTTACCTTCAGGCCAGTCCTGGGCAGTAGTAGGCTTGTTTCCATGTTACAGACAAAGGAACTGAGGCTGAGACAGGCACTATCACTTGGCTAAGGTCACACAGCAACTGCAGCAGAAGTGCAACCCAAGCGAACCTAACCACAGATCCCCTGCCCCTGTCTGCATGGGCTTTCATCCTAGGGCAACACTGTGGCCTTTAATCCCATCAATAACTCTTTGAGGGAGCGGAGGACATGATGTTCTCATCATCCCCTTCTTGTTTGATGGATGACAAAGCTGAAGCCCACATGGGGAGTGGCTTGCCAAGGTCGTACAGCAGGTGAAAGCCAGAGTCCCAGGGATGGCTGGGTCACTCCGGGAGGCTGGGATGCAACCATGGGTGTTTGTTGAGCTTCTGTCCCCCCTCCCCTCCCCTTTCTGCTGACCCTGGACATGCCCTTTGTTCATGATAGGGACAGGATGTCACCACCTATTTACCTGATTGATTTCCTTTTCTTTCCCCTACTCCTGTGTCCAGAGATCGCTGAAAGCCACCATGGCTCTGAGCCCAGCTGCAGGAGCCAGGATAAAGGAAAGGGGCTGTTGGAGCCCCCTCTACCCCTTCCCTTCCTCCTGGCCTCCAGCCTGGTCTGGACCCAGACCTGCATTGTGCTCTGGGTGTTGGACAGGAGGCCAGCACTGGTCCTGAGAGTCCAGGCGCTGGACTACAGGCAGACACTAAACATGGATCTTGAGTACAGGTAGAGGGCAGCTTGGAACCTGAACCCAGGTCTCAAAGCCCAGGCCTGCTTTCCCATAGCACCCTTAGTGGTGTGAGACATGGAAAGCTTGGAGGTTGTGTCAGTCATTCAAACAGGGCCAACTCAGGCCCGGTCCTGACTGTGATGCCCTCTTGCTGTGTGTGCCCACAGGCATGTCCTGGTTCATCTCTGGGCTCTTGTCCATCTGTACATCGAGTCCTCTTGACTCCAAGGACCTCTGAATTCAGTGCCATGTTCATAGAGGCAGGGGTCGGGCCTAGTGGGAGCCTGGACCTGCAACAGGAAGGAGCAGAGTGGGCGGGAACCTCAAGGGGCTTGGGGTTAGAGCAGGTGGGGGAGGTCTCATGGGCGAGTATGGCTGAGAACCTGCAGTTCCTCTTGCCACAGGAAGCTGGGCAGTGGGGACCAGTCTACTCTGGCTTCCTGTCCTGTATCCCCTCCCCTTTCCCTAGGAGGAAAAGGGGATGCATCCCATCCCAACCCATGGTTGCGCCCCCTTCCAGCCCTGTCTCACGGTCCACATCACAGGCTCCATCCCTCTATGCTTTGCTTGGTGCCTCATTCTCTTCCAGTCACACAAGTATCTGTGAGACTCGAAAGGGTTCTGGGGAAGGTGGGGACAGGGACAGGTGCTTACTTTATGTCTTCTCATCAAGTTTTTGCAACTGTGCTGTAGAGGAGGGCTCATTAACCCCATTGAGCAGATGGGAACCTAATAATCAGCCCTTTTGCATCCAGAATGCTGGGGCTCTCAACTTATTGTTGCCCTCTGTCCTTGGGTCTCCCTGTGCTGTGTCATTGTGGGAGGGCACCCTGGAGGGGACCCAGCTGGGCAAGAGCCCAGTCCTCACTGTGTGACCTTGGGGGTCACAGTACCCTTTCTAGGTCTGTTTGCTTATCTGTGGTGGCAGGGGTAGGAGTGAACTGGTTTTAGGGCTTGAAACAAGATGAGGTCAGGTACAGGCTTGTCCTCTGCCCCTGCCGGGGCTCAGTTTCCCCCTCTGTAGGGGACATCTTAACCTTAGGCCAGGGTTGGGAGGCTGCACTGCTGGACACAGAGTAAGGAAAGATAGCGAAGGCCTTGGTGGTCTGTGCCAATGGAGGCTGCTAGATGGGGACTCCAAGTCCAGGGTTGGCCTTGAGGACCCTGCCCTGGCTGGCCGTACCTCTGAATTGGCATGGGGGGGACTGGAAGAAGTAGCTCCAGACTGTCCTCAGGAAGGAGGCTCCCAGAGAGTGGGATTTCGAGCTAGAGAGCTCAGAGAAGGGAAATGTCAAAGGTGGCTGGCGGGTTAGGGAAGCCTTTCTGGTGGCTCGCTAAATTGAGGAACAGGTGAGACAGTACAGGATCCAGATTCTGGCTTTGTGGCCCTGAGCAAGTTGCCCTACCTAGGCTTGAGGATCCTCCTCCTCTTTCACATGTGGATAGCAGTGCTGCTTTGTCTGTCTTTATGACCTTCCTTCCTTGCTTTTTTCCCTCCTTCCCTCCCTTCCTTCCTCCCTTCCCCCTCCTTCTCTCCCTTCCTTCCTTCCTTCCTTCCTTCCTTCCTTCCTTCCTTCCTTCCTTCCTTCCTTCCTTTCCTTACTCTCTGCCTGGCCATGTGCTGGAGGTGAGGAACAGGAGGGAATCAGATTGTGCCCTCAGAGAGTTCCCATTGGGTGCTGCGACAGACACTTGTCACAGGAGCTGTGGAAACCAGGTCTAGGGGTCTGAGAAGGCTTCTCAAGGAGGAGTGCTTAGGTGATCCCATTGGAATTGGGTGGAGAATGAGAAGTACAAGTTTGATAGCACCAGGAGTGTTGCACTCCCTGCAGAGGGACAGCTATACCAAGGCCCAGAGCGGGGGACAGGAAGGAAGGTGCATTTGGAGAATTGCAGGGAGTGCAGTGTGGACACTGGAGAGGATTAGAGCGCTAGACCAGGGACCTGACCTTGGAGCTTAGAGGTCCTGGCATGGCAGGCAAAGGTTTTAGGGAGTGGAAGGAGAGGGAGAAGCATGCTGCTGCTGTGCTTGTCTGGGCAGAGGTATCAAGCCTGTT